GCGCAAGGACATCCAAGAACTGATAAGGGTGATGGGGGTGCGCAACAAGCAAACCGAGGGGGTTCCGATGGGAGTCAACGATCTGTAAACAATAATGATGCAAACCAGCGCGTTGATAATGGGGACAGAAATGGTGAGGGGGAACGATCGGGGAATTTACCTAATTAGAGACGAAGGGTGGAATTACCCATTTTCGAGGGACCCGACCCCTTGAATTGGATCAGCAGGGTGGAGAAATTTTTTGAAATTCAAAAGGTAGCAGAGGAGGAGAAGATTGAACTGGCGCATATTAGCATGGAGGGAAGCGCCGAATATTGGTTCATGTTTTGGAAGGATAAGGCAAGTAACCGAACCTGGGAGGGACTCACGGAGGCGTTGTTGATCCGTTTCGAGAGTCGTCACCGAGGCGGAATTTTTGAAAGAATGGTGGCGATCAGACAAACGTCCACTGTAGAGGAGTACGTGAGGGAGTTTGAAGTGTTAGCCGGACAGACGAAGGAGTTTTCCAATAATCAGTTGCTGGGTTATTTTTTGGCGGGACTGCGCGAGGAGTTGAGGTGTAAACTGAGGCCCCATGACCCACGTGATCTGATGACGGCGGTGAGAATCGTGCGCGGCGTTGAGGAGGCGCTTCGTGGCCTGGGTTTGCTGGGGTGGTCTAGGGCCAAGAACCTGCCTTTATGGGGGCGATCCACCAACGACGGAGCAGTGGTGGCAAGAACCGAGGCGCAAAGAAGCACCCTGGGGAGGGCCGTTACGGCAGAGAATGTTGGGTCGGTAAGACAGGATGGAGCATCGAGGAATGGACCGGAGAGAAGTAGCGGTTTCGGCGGAGGAGACAATCGGGGACAAAACTTTCGTAACCTGCCATACCAAGAATTTTTAATGCGGAGAGAGGAGGGGAAGTGCTTCCGCTGTGGAGGGCCTTTCAGTCCTGGCCATCAGTGCTCGGAAAAGAGTTTAAGAGTGGTGCTGCTCGCGGAAGATGAAGAAGAAGATACGAAGGGGATTGGGACTAAAACGGAGGCTCCATGCATGGAGCTTTCAGCATTCTCTGCCGGAGGGCTGACTCAACCTAAGACGCTAAAACTGCAGGGCAGAGTCGGGGAAGAAACGTCTTAGTACTGGTTAACAGTGGTGCCAGTCATAATTTCATAAGCAAGCGATTGGTGGAGGAGTTGAAGCTCGAGCAGGACGACACCCTACCCTACCAGGTGAGCTTGAGAGACGGCCACAAGAAGGGGACCCGAGGATGTTGTCCAAAGGTGAAAATAGGCATGGGTGGAGTTGAAATCGAAGAAAGATTTTACCTCTTCGAGTTAGGAGGAGTTGACATGATCTTAGGGGTCGAATGGCTGGCCAAGCTTGGGGAAGTCACACTCAACTGGCGAGATTCAACCATGGCGTTGAAGCATGCCGGGGAAAGGGTGGTCATTAAGGGCGATCCGGCGTTGGAGAGGAGGGAGGTCGAACCGGAAAAATTATTGAAGTTGAGCGAGATAGACGCGTGGGCCTTGGTGTGGAGTGTGGAGGGTGAGCTGGGAGAGGAAGAAGAAATTACAAAAGAACAGAAGGAGGAGTTAGAGGTAATTATAGGACATTATACAGGGGTATTTCGGGAACCCAAGGGCTTGCCACCTAATAGAAAGGAGGAGCATCAAATTATCTTAGGATGGACCTCAAGGCCGGTTACCACCAGATTAGGATGGGCGAAGCAGATGTTCATTCGGCCTACGAATTTTTGGTGATGTCATTCGGCATCACCAATGCCCCCGCCACTTTCCAAAACGCCATGAATGATTTATTCAGGCCATACTTACGGAGGTTCATGCTCATCTTCTTTAACGACATCCTCATCTATAGCATGACGTGGGCGGAACATATGGAACATGTGAAGCAAGTGTTGGACCGACTGCAACAAAAGGACTGGGTGGCAAACACGAAGAAGAGTGAGTTCGGGAAGAGGTCAATCCGATATCTGGGGCACGTCATCACGGAGGAAGGGGTCAAGATGGATAAAGAAAAGGTAGGGGTGGTCGTCGCATAGGGAGAACCCAAAACACTGAAGGCATTACGGGGGTTTTTGGGTTTGACAGGGTATTATCGAAGGTTCGTCCGGAACTATGGTAAAATAGCGAAAGTCCTTACAGAGATGTTGAAAAAGGGAAAGTTTGTGTGGATCGAGGCTGCCAGGGAAGCAATGGAAAGGTTGAAGGAAGCTGTGACGACGGCGTCGGTGCTAGCATTGCCGGATTTTACGCAGTCGTTCTCGGTGGAGTGTGACGCGTCTGGTGGAGGAATTGGGGTGGTGTTGTCGCAGGGAAGAAGACCGATAGCTTATTACAGCAAAGCATTATCGGGTGCGAATATGGGGAAATCAAATATACGAAAAAGAGCTCATGGCGGTGGCGATGGCAGTGCAACAATGGCGACCCTACTTGTTGGGGTGGAAGTTCGTGGTGTATACAGACCAGAAGAGCTTACGGTTCTTGCTGGAACAAAGAGTGACAACGCAGGCCCAACAGCACTAGATAGCCAAGTTGCTTGGCTATGACTTCGACATAGTATACCGAATGGGGGCCACGAACAGGGTCGCCGATGCGTTATCACGTAGAGAAGAGGAAGAGCGGGTAGAAGAGGGTGACCCAAACGGAGAAGAGGTGAAGGCTGAATTAAGGGGGATAGTGCGACCTTACTGGCGTGATTTCCAAGAGGTAGTAAGGGAAGTAGAGGAAGACTCCGAATTGCAGAAGATCAAGGAGGACATTACCAAGGACCCGAACAAGCACCCTGCGTATACGATGGAGAACGGGCATCTACATTACAAAGGCCGACTGGTCCTAGCAGCTAAATCGGAATGGATCCCAAAATTGCTCGCTGAATTTCATAATGGATCCCAAAATGGCATTCGTGGGTATACCGAATTGAAACTAGCAATAGGAACAAAGCAAGTGGAGAAAGAATTGCCATCTGACTTACAAGTAAATGGACCCACATGTTGGCCAAGCAGGGTGATCACTAGACGAGTTCAGCAACATGAAGGAAGCCCACGCGAGCAAGTATTAATTGAGTGGAAGAATGGAGGAATGAAGAACGCTACATGGGAAGATCGGGTGGTGATGCAGGAGCAGTTTCCCGACTTTAACCTTGGGGACAAGGTTAATCTTCAAGGAGGGAGTGATGTTAGGACGTGGAGAGTCTATGAGAGGAGGAAAAGGAAACATAACACTTAACTGCTAAGTGAGGGGGCGGGAAAGGGCCTATATATTAGAACCCCCTTTAATGTTCAGGAGTTAGTTGAGTAGTTATATGTGTTAACCGGTCTTAACACCAGGTGGAGGGGGTTAAGCTCCTACGATACAATGTACTCTTGATTCCTTGTTGTGAATACCATTCATACTATTCTTTCTTTTATTTTTCTCTTTTTTCCTTTTGTAATATATTGACTTTAAGGTTGACCGTTCCGATACGCAGTTGTTCCATAAAGGAGTGCTTATAAAAGAGTTTTCTTAGACGTACGCATTGATACCAGTCTGAGAGGGAATGTGCTGATCCTGTTTGACAATGTTGCACAGAAATATTTGATAGAGGAGAATAAATCTGTCAAGGACTTGAAGTTGAAAGTAGAACCCTCTTATGTTTTCTTCCCTGTTGGTTCTCAGAACATATCAAGGTAAATTGACATTTGCCTCTATTGATTAGTATCGAGTAATAGAAATACACGTGTTTGCATTTTTCACTAGCCAGTTCTTTTGCTAGAGTCTAATTTGGAGAGTAATACTGCCTTGATTTTTTGTTTACTTTTTGTGCTTGAGTACCTTACCCTAATTAAACTGTAAACAGATACTTCATTGCACCGACAACAGAGACTGATAAAGCTCAACAAGATATGCTGCTTGAAAATATCCTGCACAATTCATTGACATTCCATTTCTGGAACAGCCTGACATTTTCTCTCGTCCCTGAACCAGATAGCCTTGTGTCTAGACTTTTTAATCATGCATGTATCCGATGCCTGGAATTACTATGATTGTCATCAACTTCCACCAATTTTGTCTCGAGATTCCATTCAGATTACAGTCCAGAAAATATCGGCAGGGTCTTGGTTTCCATGCACGTTGTACAATTTTATTGTATGTTAGTGAATCACTGGGAAGTCCACGACTAAAAGATAGGTAAGATATACAGAAAATTTTGTAAAGCAAAATATAATGATAATGTATTAGTATCTGAGTTTATAGGCTGTGAGAACATGTTATTTATCATTTCTTAATTTTTTAATAAATTATTAATTTCTTGATGTGATATTGCGCTTTACGATTCAAGACATTGGAACTATCTTTTAGGCTATTACTTGTTTGAAAGGAGAAACTCTATCATTAGGTGATTTCACGTGAGTTCTAACATAAAAAAAAAAGAGAATGGCCAAATTTTTTTAAAAGCGAGAGTATAAGTGGAATTTTGTTTTGATAATAAAATGTCCAATTACGCATTATTTAACCATATTGAGTCCATTAAATCGATCGAGTAATGGTTTAAAATTACTTGAATGAATTATTAGGGTCCCCCCCTTTAAGAGTTTGAAATTTTCATCACAGGTTAATTTGGCGCCAAAACGATGATTATGGGTTTCAGCCAATAGTCCTTTCATATTTTTTATCTATGCAACCTTCAAAATGGGTCAGATTTTACTCATTGCTGTAACGTAGAACGCACTTGGAAGATTTCATCCATTTAAAAAAGGAAATAGAAAATGTAATTTTCCTCATTAGAACGCCAAGAATATCCTTTGTACATCTGATGACAATTACTTTGTAACAGACTAACTGTTTTGGACCTCTGCAAGAATTGAGACACGTGGATAAAGTTCTCCTGAAAAATTACCTGTTCATTCAGCTTTACATTTGGCATATGAAAACTTAAAATAATAATTACTTGACATTTCCAAGGGCTTTTTTGTTAGAAAATATTTTTTTTTAAAAATAATTAACTAGTCAAAAATGGGTAGTTCTTTTATTTTTTTTTTCATGTTATTGTTAGAAAACTATTCACTTTTTAATAATATATATATATATATATATATAAGGATATATATATTATATATATATTATATTTATATATATATATATTATATATATATTATATATATATATATATATATATATATATAATTGGGTTTTTGTTAACGCTCCCGTTTAACGCCTGTTTTCCAGTTGGGTCACATTTTTTAGCATGTGTACCAGGGTTTTAGTAGACAAAATATCATCCTTATATATAATGGATTTTTCTCGTTTTTAAAGTTAAGGGTATTTTTAATAATTTTTTTTCCATTCTTTTCAAAACAAAACAAAAAAAGAAAACCCCAAAACCTTTTTCACCTCTCCTCATTTCCTCCTCAACCCTTTTTTCCCTTTTCCCTCTTTTTTCCTTTCTTCTCACCTCCAATCTTCTCCCTGTCATCCCTACTCTGTAGCCCCCAATTGAAAAAAAATCGAAACACTTTGCGTTAAACAATCTTACAAAAAAATGATTTTATAATGAGTTTTCATCTTATAATTTTTTTTGTCTTATCTAATTTTTATCTCCAATTTTTCACAAGTATAAAGAAAGGAATTGGTAATTGACCTGGAAAAAAATCCAAAATACTCGCTGTTTAAACAATTTCTTCTTACAAAAAATGATTTTATAAATGATTTTTTTATTTTATAATTTTTTGTCTTATCTAATTTTTAAATAATTCTAATTTTCCAACAAGCAATAATGACATCAAAGGAATGGGTAATTGGCCCTGGAAAAAAAAATCAGAAACACCAGTTATTAAATATTTTCTTTTACAAAAAATGACTTTTATAATGAATTTTTCATTTTTAAATAAAAAAATTTTTTTGGTCGTATTATTAATTTTTAATAATTTTATATAATCTAATTTTTCCCACAAGCAAATAATTGGAAACATCCGAAAGAATTGGTAATTGGCCTGTAAGGGTTTTTTTTTAAAAGAGATGAGATTTCAACAAAATACAGGTGATAAATTAAGAGAGGTTAGTAAAGATGGTGAATTTGAAGTATATTGAGTGAGAACCCTTTTTTGCCTTGAAGGTGAATATGGTCCACTGACTACAAGTAGGAATGACAGAGAAAAAGTTGGCGTGAGAGAGATGAAGAGAAAGGATTGAGATGAATGGAGAGTTGAGTAAGGTTTTGGGGGGTTTTCTTTTTTTTTTTTTTTTTTTTTAAGTTTTTTTGAGAATAAAATTATTTAAAATACCCTTAAACCTTAAACTTGAATCCATATATATAAGGGTATTTTGCCGCGTCTAGCAAACCCATATATATATATATATATATATATATATATATTATATAATCTATATATATATATTAATATATATATAGTATATATTTCTGATTATGTTTTTATGGTTGTTTTTTTTTTTTTTTATTACAACTTTTATTGTTTTCTCTAAAACTGGGACAAACTTCTAACAATAACTACCTCATTTAAAAAAAATCTTATTACATTAAGTTAACCTTAACAAAAATTTCTCAAATTTCCTCCTCTTAACTTAAATGTTGTCCTTTCATCCCAACTTTTTCAATTATATCCATTCACAACCTGAGTTTATTTTTTTCTTTCCCTATAAGTTTGGGCCATTTTAAATCAAAATATATCACCAAACATAAATGCCAAAATCAGTCCGTTTGGCAAGCCACAAAATATCTCGTTTTGCCTCCCATGCAAGGAACCTCCCCTGGTTGGTTCCTTGACTTTCCTCAGGTTGGCCCTAACATTCTAATGGGAAAAAAAAACCTTTTCAAAGTGTTTATTAAAAACAAAACTTCATCCTAGTTTTTGAGATTTGCCATTAAACACGTCAAACCCCCCTTAGAAAGACCGATAATGATTATGTTCCAAATCCACCACAAATTCATTAATTGTATATAGCGTAGCAGTCAACTCTCTCAAACCTTTGACTTCCTTTACAAGCCTGAGAAGGGTGCATTCTATTGACAGAGGCTTTATTGGCAAAAGATGCTCAATATTTTCTTTATCAACAAAAATCCAAACAGGAAATTTCTCCTAGTGGAATTGAATAAATCGCTGACATCGTACCATGTGGTGTTGTCACATGTTTTTTGCTTCATAGTATTTTCCAACAACCTAGTGTGATGAGATAAGTTTCCATGGAGAGGCATTGGGCTTCCCCTAATTTTTATCAACCTACTCAACGTTTGAAAATCTTTAGTGTTATAAAACCTATGGGAAAATCAATAGCATGATCATATTTATTAGTAATCGATCCCGGTCCAAGCCCAAACTTGGGGACATGAAAACTGTTGTTTCACTTTTACTTTCCAACTTCCCTAAATCACTACAAGTTTTGCCCAATATCACCACAAGTATCACCAACGGAAAAGCCAATTCCATTTTCATCCTACGTAAGAGAGAGCTTTTTAGCGCCAACTCTCGCTCCGTCTTCAACTCCGAGATGTCTCTTTGTTTTTGCAACAACATTTTTTCACCTTCCAACATAAGCTTCTCTACTTCTTCTCGAAGCTTCGTCTCATTCAGAAATCGCACAACAAGCATTTGAGTTCACGTTTAGGGGACCTTCAACCTCACAATCCTTCTCTCCAAGGAGTATGTCGAAGTAGAGGTTCATCTCCTTGACCCTGTTGTCCTCACCATCCACCAAGCTACTTGGTCTCCAATAATTCCATCGCCTTCAAACTAAACGCTCCAAGCCTTTCTACCGAGTAGAGGTAGACGCCAATCCGAGCTTTCCAATTTCTTCAATTTCTTGTTCAGGCTCTCCATCGTGGTGTCTGCAGGCTTATCCACCGAGCTCTTCACTTCCTCCTTGACCCTTATCTTATGATCAATTGAGCTAAACTCATCTAACATCAAGTTATGTAGACACTCTTTCGTGCTTCCATCACCAATTAACGAACTCCTGTTTCCACTTGTTGAGCTCCTATTTTCTCTTGCCAACCTCTTAATCACATTTGTCGAGCTCCTGTTCTCACATGCCAGGCTAATGCCAGTTGTTAGGCTCCTTCCTTCATTTTTCGGGCTCCCCAATTGCTTGGCCGACCTCTTCGGGCTTCTTGGCATCCAGAGAATTCCAATTTTTTTCATCAGCTTTCTCAGTAAGGAGATTTTTTTCCTCCTTTCTTTCATCTCGACAATATTTTTCTATATGACCATCTTACCATAACAATAACATTTGACCGATCTGCACTCGTTTGTCATGCTTATCACATTTATAGCATTCAACATTAGACTTACTTGAACAACCTCCTCGGTGTCTCCTTTTTCCACGGCCACACCAGTTTTGATTACCGGTTTTGCTCCCTTTATCATCTTCATATATAATCACTTTAATCACTTCCACCAATCCCACTTTTTGGCCACAACCTCCCTTTGGGGTTTTCCCACGGACCGTCTTCCCCTCCAGGACCCATCCTTTTCAAGCCCTGAGTGTTTCGAGCCTCCTCCTTTCAGGGGTCAAGTGTTGTCTGAGTTGTTAGGGAATTTCGGGAAAGAATCCTAAAACAAGCGCTCCTCGCCTCCCAAACCCAACAAATCAAGAACTTTTGT